AAAAAAAAAAAAAAAGAAAAAAAAATTCCGACGTACATAATATATTCATAAATGTTTCGTGAATTGAATTCAAGCGAAACTCGACTCAAATAACTACCTGAAATCGGGGCTTCCCGGTGGACATTCCTTGGTGCCACAGCTGCGATATTTCACTCGATCGCCGATACAGTAACGGCCGTTGTTCTGCGGGGGTGGATTATTGCATTCGCGGAACCTTTTCTTGATACCACCGCCGCAGGTTCTCGAGCATTTCCCATATTGTCCCCACTCGCCCCATTGGCCATCCACTGGCTTGAGATTTCTACGGGAGACGCATTCGCCTCGATGACACCATTTGTCTCGGTCGCAGGCGGTTCCATCAGCCCACGGCATGTGCTGGGTACGACACTGATCGTAATGGTCTCCGTTCGGTGTGGTGCACCACAGTCTCCTGCACACTGCCTGGCCGATAACCAACCAACCGCTCAGTTTATCTCAATTCTTAAGCAGTACGTTTGCTGCGTTATTGTTTCAAGCAACACGATGTCGCATAAACGTATCTACATGTTCAAAAACGCGTTTAATCATTATCGTTGAATAACTATAAGCATCCTTAAATAATAGAATCTTTCTCAATCTTTCGCCGACTTACCGATCAAGTTTATGCAATCAACTATTGCACTATTAGCAACACAATTTTGAAACAGTTTTAATCTGTTTATACTTAATTAATTTCGCCGGAGATATAATTATATAATTAAATAATATGTGTACATACAAAAATGTGTCACTTACCATCACCCACCATGTGAGAGCAGATCCTAGATCCGTTGCCGAATACCAGCTCGCACTGCTTGTTCACCGTGTAATCCTCGCCTGGGAGTCTGCTCGGGTCATCTCGCAGCATTATGTTATCCGGCCTGTCCAGCAGACAGTTTCCGTTTCCGGCCCTTGACAACAAGATTGAACCAAGTTTGAGTTACAGGTACTTCCTGGTGTAAGAGGTGGATCCTCGTGCATCATTCGCGGGCCGAATTTTTGTGGGAAACGGCGGTGATGCGCACGGTGTGCGCACCGAGACATTCAGAAATGCAGCGAAACCGGATTCCTAAGCGAGGAGCCATCTTCTTCAGGCTGTTCAGGCAGAAAAACTCGCGGCACCGGCTCTTGACCTGATCGAATCGGATTTAGAACTGTTTCCAAACGAGAATGTTGGGTGCAAATTCGGCTAGAGAGAGAGAGAGAGACTACGCTTTAGCTCGGTTTTAAGCAAAAATACTTTAAACGCGGTATTTCCTGCCTCGTAGTAACAGGAAACAGATTCCTTTTGGAGGATTAGTTGAGCTGATAATTCGAAAAATGTGAAGTGTTTCCAAAGATTTAGAATAGTGAAGGTTTAGACACGGTGTAAATGATTCCAACGATTAATTGATAGCTAATTTAATTGACTTTTGGATAGAGAGATTTTCACTCATGACTATCAACGGTCGTTAGTTATTCACAAGTTAGAAATTATTATTATTAACGTCAATAAAACATCTTGGATAATCGAAATAATTTTGTTTAGAAAATGAATGAAATATTACAAGCAAACTTTATAACTTCTTTACCACAGAGATATCTGTAATGTACTTGTTATCTGATAATTCAACAGTATAATTGTTTAATACTACAATACAATAATTGATCCAAATCATTAGTCTTTGTAAAGCTCGATTAAAAATTATTTATAGTAAACGTAAGAAGATAATGAATTAATAATTATATATATAAAACTATCATCTTTTGAGTTAAACCTCGTTAAGAAATTTGTCCAGCTTGAATTTCCTTTCATTGGAAAATATGTCAATTCTTTTTGGTCGAATATTCCTGTGTGTCAGCCAATTTTTTAAAGACACATGCTCTTCAGTCTAATGAAGAAAACGTGAATCTCAATGAGACTAATTTTACAATATTCAAGGATCAATCTGTCAGCGTCATACATTTGGTTTTGGGAACCAAACTGTGCTTAGTGGTTCATCAAGGTAAAATGATTGAACTCACTCAAGGAACTCGGTGACATAGTGTCGGGAACATTTTGACCATTCCCAGGGGAAAGTGTTGTCATCCAGCATTCTTGACATTATGTTGTGCACGCCAGAGCGATTTCTGAAAGATGAACACTTCACGTCGTCGTCGTGGGGCATGCTCAGCCTAAAATTCAGATTGGGTGTTAATTCTATTCGATGCAGATGTTTAAATATTCTTCTTAGAATGAAATGCAATATGATGTACAATGCAATTTATATTGTACAACATAAACATAATACAGAATACAGAATAAATATAACATCAATATGAAAATAAGAGAGCAACATAATAAATCAAAAATTCTGTCTCTTACAGAAGAAAAAAAAAAATCTAATACACTGTCATGTAAATCCATATTACTCGCCTATCTAAACTTCCATGTATTTCATTTAGAAATTAGAGTAAGAAAAATTGATAATTTAGAATCACTTGCCGAGGTTAAACCACATAAAGACACGATATTGTTGGAATAATTTTACTCACACATGACCAATCTCATGAGCAATTGTGAACGCAGCAGCCAGGCCATTGTCTTGAACAATGGCACAAGAGGATCCTGGCATACACATTCGTCCCAGCTCAGCCAGGCCCAACGTGTCGCAGCTCGTTTCGTCGGAATTGTGACACAGATTTTCCCTGTAAAA